TTATTAACGATTTACTAAATGAAATAGAGAATTCTGGCCTAGGAGCAGTAATTGTTGATTTAAATGTTAATGTTCCTACTCAAGCAGACGACATCTGTTTGGTCAGTACGAGTCTTAGAAGTCTTCAGAAAATGATATCAATAAGTGAAAATTATAGTAAAAGATGGCGTTTTTCATTCTCTGCTGTAAAAAGCAAAATTGTTACCTTCACAAACCCAAATAGTAGAACTTGCACTGTGTATAATGAGCTTTATCTGTACAATTGTATTATACCACAGACTGATGGCATTACACATGTTGGTATCTTATTAAACTGTATACAGAACTCATTTGAGAGAACAGCACGTGCATGTAATAAGTTAAGATCGGGTACGATGTCCCTTGTTCGTTCTGGTGCACATCCTTGTGCTCTAAACCCTTTAACAGTGGCGAAGCTTATCAAAATTAAAGTTTATCCATCAGCCTTATACGGATGTGAGCTTTGGCAATTGACAAAAACCGAAATAATAATGCTAGAAAGGGCGCAACATTTTATTGTTAAATCTATTCAAGGGTTTGAAAAGAGAACCAGAACAGATATGTGTACATCTTTACTTGGTTGGACCTCTATCGAAGCATATATAGACATTAGAAAGTTGTTATTTTTTGGAAGATTGTGTAGATTGAAAACAATGTCTTTTGTTTATAAAGTTTTCATTACCAGACTATTTTTGTTTCGACTAGGTAGACCATACCAGATCGGTTTCATCCCAGACATAGTCAAAATATTAAAAAAGTATTCACTGCTTCAAAATCTAGATACTTTTGTAGAAACTGGAATTTTTCGAAAGAAAAGCCATTGGAAAACAACAGTATATAATGCTGTAATGAAATATGAAGAGTACAATCTAAAGGAACGTATGAAGTTTGATGATGATTTTACAAGGTTTAGAGAAATACATAACCAACCCAAACCTAGTATTTTATGGAAGTTAGCACTTCGATTTCCTCAATACAGAAAATATATACATTACATGATGAAAATAGTGGTAACCATTCGTAGCTTGACTACCATGGAATTATGTCACAAATGTGGGTTTCTATATCAAGACCCTATGACACATCTAGTGCTACAGTGTATTTATACTTCCGAGTTGAGGGACCAACTGTGGTGCTGTATAATTAATACCACAGATATACTGTTTAGTGTTTATTTACACTCTCTCCCAGACCTTCAGTTATTACATATATTGATTGGAGGAAATGTAAACTATCAAATTAGTGCAGAAGAGCTGATTGAATTCAGGATAAAATCCTGTATTTGTGTGTTCAAGATGTGTAAACTATATTATAATTAATATATATAATGGTAAGGATAACAAATAGTCCATGTACATTTTGTAGGAGTCATGTGACTTAACAATTCATTATAATTTACCTGATTTGTGTCAGAAAATTGTATTTTGAAACTCTTTGGGTATACCTTAAAATACCCCCTTTCGCTTAATTTGCACTTGATATGCCTACTCCTAAAGCATAAAGTGTGTATCTATGTTATTCATATTCTGTAATCATTTATATATGTATCGTACGCTTTGTATATATGTTCAACATTCTTCTGTAATCTTCATCTCTGGAGGCAATAAAGAGAATAATATTCATACTGATTATATTTCACTAACAAACACTCATCTGTACACATGCTTTCACTCCCATTCATTCATTCATTCTACTTTTGTTCACAATCTCATAACCTATAGACTCAACAAAGCCACGACAACCATTAGTAAAAATAAATTGTACAATATTGAATTATATCAATTATCATAGTAGAGTAGTTAACGATTTGCTGAAAACTACAAATCCGGTCACGTTTTACTCTTATCATGAATTTTCACAAAAATAAAGTTTATTTACCAATTTTCTTCATTTCCAAGGTATTGTCAACTCTGTGAAATTATTCATTACTGGCAAAACCATTGATCAGGACACACATCTTTTACTCCCCTTCATTCCTTTGAACCTTTCTTCAATTAAGTTCAATGAACTAAACATTTATATAAAATTTTATCAAAGAATGATGAAATTCCAACTGGGAGTAAAAAAATGGGCCAATGATTTTGACTAAGATAATTCTGACTGGGCAAATAGTTTTTCATTACCTTTTAAAGTAACAAAAGATTCAAAATTTCAGTGGTTCCAGCATAGGATTTTACATAATATTCTGACAACTAATTCAATACTTTTCAAGGCAAACATAGTGTTAAGCCCTCTTTGTACATTTTGCAAATTTGTTTTTTTAATTCCTTTTCCTATTAATAAACAATCTTTAATATTTGGTTTTTGGCCAATTAGACACGAATTTAGTAGAATAGATAATGAAATTAATATCATCATTAAACACTATATTTATAAAACTAGATGTTTTGATACCACATTAAACATACATTCACTAATAAACTCTTTCAAGGACCACCATAATGTCCAAAAGTATATGGCAATAAAAAAGGGTGGTACTTTTCTTGATAATTTTAACAAAGAATGGGGAAAATGGAAAAAGATTCTAATTTCTTTATAAGAATAGAAATATATTTGTTATCAACCTAACTCTGACAGTTGGGCTCACTTTTATTTCGATTTTCTTATTAAGTAATGCTGTAGTCAATTTTGATCTCAATTAGTTTCTACTTTTGTTTCTGGAAGGTCTGTCTATCTGTCTCTACCTTACCCTAACGGATGACTCTTACACATGTTTGATATTTCTCTTTATACTTCAGGGTGTTTGTTTTGTCTCTGTATATGTCTTTGTTGTCTGTCTTGTGTTTTGTCAATATATCTCCCTCCCTCTGTCTGTCTGTCTTGTCTTGTTTTGATTTGTCTTGTCTTGTCTGTCTGTTTGCTACTTGTAACTGTCTACGTATTTTCTTTCATATCACATGACACTATGGAATATTCACTTCACTTTAATTTCATTAAAACATGTATGATGATCGGGGTGTGAACTTATGTACGCAAGGAATATATACGCTAACTAGTATGAATATGGCTGATTAATATAAAATGTCTATGCATGTTTGGGAAACTGGAAGGAATTATCTTTTTTCTGTACTTGATGTATTACTGTCATGTGCGCATGTCCTTTGAAAAAAAATGAATAAAATATGAGTTATAATAAAATTATCATAGTATATCAATGCTAATTCAGTCACAGCTACACGGATTAATTTTTATTTATAATCAAGGCAATTCTTGATTAAATGTATAATTATTATAAATACTAGTAAAACAAATGCGACAAATGCACACACTTAGAATTGGATAACATGCTCTAAAAGTTTTAGGGCATGTGTCAGAGGACTGAAAATTAAAAACAAAAATTAAAGTTATGCTATTTGTCAGCCTGGTCAAAAGTTCGACATGGTATAGCCACAATAGCAGTAAGACTGTCACATGACTAAGCAATCAAACTTAACAAAATCCAAGGTCCAAGATCCCAGCCATGTAAGCCATTCATAATCAGTGAAAACTAAATAAAAATGATTTGATGAAAATTTGCCAAGAACGAATATTCGACACGCTCTGCTGACAATTGTTTTGGTTATAACCACTACCACTACTACTGTTACAGCAAATGGTCTAAACAATCCATCTTACCGTTAAAGTCTGTAGACTTTCGCTTTCAAATTAGCATTGTGCAGCAACATTATCTGTAGAGCTACGATTCTTTAAGCTATGAGGGATGTAGTTCAGTATTTGTCAGTTTTGATTAAATGTCATTCATTTCGTTTTGTACCCAAAATAAATAAATATGATAATTTAAGATTACAGGATACACAAAAATGATTTTTGGTCATAACTAATATCTTTGATGATATTCTGGTTTGAGAAAAAAAGTCTATAGACTACAGGTTTTATAGCTTTAAATCAGATACCGATTCAGATACTATTAATTTGGTTGTTCTGTAGGGGAAACCCTGTATGGATGCGGAGCCGAAGAGGAAATCAAATGGATTTGGTCCGAAACAATACTAGCTGGGGCAATTATGAAAACAATAATTATTAACAGCATGGTTCGACGAGGACAAAATTGGATGACAACTTGCTTTGAAACACTACTTGTCCTAAACGCCAGCGTGGATTCGGTATTATAGTAATCACTGGGTATTGGTATTGTTTTTATTTCCAAATGCAATAACAACATATAGGTAGCAATGATACATAATTATCTAAATCATATTAAATGTTCAAGATGGCGGAGGGCAATTCCATAGAGATAGTGAATATAACATATATTGACACCAAACAGTTCCAGGAATTAACATATAACAATGTCATGAGAATCAATATTCATAATTGTATCATTTGGTTTGTGACGTAATAATAAAGATGATACGGGAAAGTTATGACGTCACACAGTGTTAACAATGAAAGTTGATTTTCAGTCAAAACTCAAGTAATAAGCTATGTTAATAGAGTAGAATTCATACGCATATAATAACAATTGAAATTAATATACAATGTATAACTACTACACAGGAAGGTTTTGGGAAATGGTACTGTAATCATGAATTTCTATGGGGAAGGGAAAGGCGCTAAAATTGAAATTTTGCTTGAACGTGCTCTGAGCGGATTACGAGGTCAGAAAAGTAGTGGAAAATTTTCAGTCTAGCAAACAGGAATGACCATAAAGTAAATATGACGGATTGTTAAAATTCATCTATATCATTAAGTAACTCCTCTCGTGTTTTTCTTTTTCTTCAGTGATCAGTTTTCAACTAGCGCCGAAGAAGAACTTTATTGGCACTAATAATATGAATTATTTTACCATAACTTTAACCAAACTTTTCTTGTTAAAACTATCAATCAAGTGTGTTATTATATCTTTCAAATCGTGAGCAAGCGCATTATATCTAAATGCACGGTCTTAGTCTATTCTATGTCCGTGATATACACTATGATTAAAACAAAAATCAGGTTTGTAAACAGAGTTGTGCCCCCTTCGTCGGAACTCTTCACCGCCATAGTGACTTGCATGTTGCCGGCAGTAGAAAGGGATCATAATTTCAGTTAGCTGAAGAATTTGCTCGGATTCTGTGATAAAATTGCAAAGAAAACATACTAGCGCTAAATCAAGATTAAATATCACGTCAACATCATGGTGAGTTTATGAAACATGATTCGAATGATAACGAACATTCTTTCATAGTTTGGCTACTGTGAGATTGTTTGGTCTGGTGCAAAATGGAATTTGATTCTACTACCCTAGCATTGACTAACTTTGAGATGACACTGTCGAAGCTGTCTGTTTAGATCTGAATCAAGTGGAGAGTGAAGTTGATTTTTAAACAACTTACCAGTATTACAAAATAAATAAAAATATTAGAACCTATATACAGAGACGTATATATCACATGTGATATGTACTTCTCTGCTATATAGAAAGTTCTTTATTTGGTATACAACACGGTAAATGTATTTTTCGTTATAAACTATGCTATCTACTTCACTTAAAAATTTTAACGGGTGTGTTCCTATATATGGTATACTATAGGCTAGACAGACAATAGGATTGACCAAACAATGTTTGCAATTAAAATTGACCTGAAGGGCAGCAACCTCAATTCGACTGTTTCCACATGTAATCATTATTTTTTAAACCGTTTTTGTATTTGTAAGAAACATTTGTACATATTTTACTATGAGACAAGGGAGGCCAGCAACTCTCGCACATTTATGACCAAGTGTTAAACGTTGCATAGCCAAAATCAACTACAGTACATTGTTACCATCTTATTTACTGCATTGGTTTTTAACCTATTTGCCGTCTAGTCACACTATTTTTGACATACAATTGACATAGTAGATGGAGCATCAACATCTGGATTCAGTGGTTTAATTATTGCTTTAAATGTTTTGCCAAGCTAGGCTAGCTGTCAGTAGAACAACGGTATAAATATTTACTAAGCCAGGGTCAGTCATGACATAATTACAATTGTCTTTATCACATGGTAATGACAATACAATGGAGCCATTAAAGTTAAGTTACATCAACAGAGTTTACATATAAAATCTGCAAGTTGATAAGTGAGTCACATTCACATCCAACATTCAGGTAATAGTGTTGGTTGTAGTAGAAGTATCTGTAATTGTTGGACCTCAGGACCTTTCAACTTTAGTATACATGGATTATAGTACAGCTGAAAAAGTTCCTTACGACATAATAATCATCTCATACACTGTACGTCACTGCTGTTAAAAGAGAAATTCATTTTGTCTGATTAAGTAGTTGATTGACCTACAGTTTAATCACATAATTTTGGTTCCTAGAGTATTCTCGAGTACAATGGTGCAGCTATCATCGCAATGAAGGGAAAGAATTGTGTGGCAATTGCTGCTGACAGAAGATTTGGTATACAGGCCCAAACTGTTAGTACAAACTTCCAGAAAATGTTTGAGATGGGACCACGACTTTTTATTGGATTACCAGGCCTGGCAACAGACGTTCAAACTGTGTATGTATCAAAGTGTTTCTGTTGAATATTTGTCACCAACGAAGAATGACAGAACTGTCAAAAACAAAATATATCCTATAACAACTAGTAAACACTTGACTATCAGAGAACTAGACAGCAGTCAATTTGTACTAAACAACTTTTTAAACAGACAATTTTTCATTAAAAATATGCCAAAAAAAAAAATACTTTTATAGAGTTTGTGTTGAAACCATTCATATAGCCTTTTAAAGTAAAGATATCAGAAACGACCTCTGCTTTTTTCAGTAATTTCATTCAAAATAAACAGAACTCCATTGAATATGCACAAAAGAGTTATGAAATACCCTGTGGAAACTGTGATATTACCCCTTATAATTTTTTTCTGAAAGGTATATACCACTAAGCATGTAAAAAAAAATAGAGTTTACAAACCTAATTTGGACCTGAAGCTTTCCTCATTTAAATCTTGTAAATGTGTTTTAAAAGCAAAGGTAAAACAAGAGCACCTTGCCTTTGGCTAATATTTTCAGTATGACTGATTAAAAATGAAATAATGATAAAATATGAACTATAATTATGATAACTTTGTAATTTATTCACACGTCTTAATGATTTAAACATATTGGTGTATGGATGTATTTTCATAACAACCTCTTGTTTGTAGTGCCCAAAAACTACAATTCCGTGTGAACCTGTATGAACTCAGAGAAAACAGAAGAATCAAGCCAAAAACATTCATGAGTATGGTATCCAATTTGTTATATGAAAGGAGGTCAGTATTTTATTTGATTTTGAAATCTGTTGAATAGGATTTCAAATAATTATCTGGTATTATTACAAACGGTATATGCAATATGATTGTAACATTTCACTGCGCAATATAACATTATCTCATGGAAATAATGGAAAATAATTTACTCAAGTAGATAGACAGCACCCACATCACATTTTGTAATGAAGGAATATAATCCGGGTCAGTGGCTCATTTGTCTGGTTCTCTTACAACCTCTGCTACATTTTTCAGATTTGGTCCATATTTTGTTGAACCTGTTATTGCTGGTCTTGATCCAAAGACTGATGAACCTTACATTGCCTCCATGGATCTGATTGGCTGTCCAATGGTGACAGAGGAATTTGTTGTAAGTGGTACCTGCTCTGAACAGATGTATGGAATGTGTGAATCATTATGGAAACCAGATATGGTAAGTTAGTTTGTTTATCTTCATATGGGCTGATGGAATTTGACACAGTATGTATCCTCAACTAAGTTCCCTCCCCTAGTGTAAAAGTTTAGTGTGTATGTTTGGGGAGGGCTTATTTGTTTTAAAATTGATGACTCTGTAAAAATAAAGAAGGGGCATATTTGTGGGCAGGGGCTTATCTGCAGATAGATGTAACAGAGTTGATCACATGAAGGTGTGTTGGATATGGATATTCTACCTAAAGTGTATTGTTGGGGTCAGAACTGAAGCTCTGCTGTGCATCCACTTAGGCGGTAGCAGGAGATATGCTATTCTTTCCCCAGTTAAGCTCATGGTTATAATTAAATTTTCTGTTCATCTATCTATCAAGACTAGTTTTCCTAGAGTATTTCTTGAAATGTTCAACAAATACTTCAATCATGAAAGCTTGTACATTCGTTCCAGGCAACTATCCAAAGTAGCACCCCTTCTCATGCATTTTGAAATTGGACGATGGGGGAAATAAACCCAGTAAAATAAGCCCCAAGAGAAATAACTCGGGTAAATAAGAACATATGTAAATAACCAAGGGGAAATCAGCCCCAAGGGAAATAACCCCAGTAAAATAAGTCCATAGGAAAATAACCACAGTAAAATAAGCCCATAGGGAAATAACCACAGTGAAATAAGCCCATGTGGAAATATACCCAGAAAAATAAGCCCAAAGGGAAATAAGCCGAGAGGGAAGTAACCCAAGGGAAATCACCATTCGCAACCCAAATAATTCTGTAATCAAACTAAACCTAAAGTTAAAGTGATATGTGCTGCAAACATGGCCAGATTTGGCAGATCAACAGCCAACAATGTTTCTAAACTTCTAGATGCTGTCAATAAGATTAAGGCAACTTAATGTCTATGCTAACGTTGATGGCTTATATTATCAAATCAGAGTGAGATATTGATGTTGGTAACTGTAGTCCAGAGAATCTAGCTGCATTGTTGTCCAGTTTTTTTTTTTTAAAAATTAACAAAAGGAGACGTGTGTGAACAAGCCAGATGATAAAGAAAACATGTGTCTGTGTAGCACAGAAAGTTTGCCATTTAAGGGATTTACACCTTATATCACTGGATGTGTAGTAAATTGATATGTTGATATGAACAATTGATTAAAGAAAAAAAAATGTTGCATATCAACTACTTGTTGATTAAAATATCAAGCAAATTTACACTTGTATTCAGTTTTGTTCGGTATGATAAAATAATTATGGCCTTATGTGTCGTTGATAGATCTGGAATTGTCTCTCTGAAGAAGGCTATTTTCCTTTGCCCTTGCAAAAATAATCCTCCCCGTGGAAACAATTCTGGATTTATCCCTCCACAGAGGATTTATCCCTCCACAGAGGGCCTTAATTGCATATTATTACCCTCTCTCAAATAAATTGGCAAATGATGTTGTAAAATTGATATTAAGGGTCCAATTTGTTGTTTCAATCTTAATTTCTCATTCACAAATATATAAATTGTGTATTAACATTAATGAGTTTAGTATCATTTTAAGTCTGTATATTATGCTCTACCGGAAAGCTGGATATGTTAATTACTTACTATAACAGGGACCTGATGATCTGCTGGACACAATATCTCAAGCCTTACAGAGTGCAGTAGATAGAGATGCAGTGTCAGGATGGGGCTGTCTAGTCCATATCATGTAAGTCTATCATTTATCTCTGCCTCAATTTTTGTCTTAGATTTTGTTTTTGTCATTATCTCAGACTAAACCTTTTTATGATTTTTTTGACATGGACAAGTTTCTTGCTTTTCTTGTGGGTCAAGTCCACATTTCACCATCCCTCCATGCCTCCATGTTATCAAGTTCATCAACAATTTTTAGAAATTACACTCTTTACTTGCTTTGAAAAGCCTACAAAAATAAATTATAACAGGAGCTCTTTTCTACACATCTCTTTTCCATGTTATGTGCTATTTTCTGCTTTTTTTCTCATACAGTTTGCAAAGCAGTAATATTCATACCTAGAAAATAAGTTTGCTATAATGAGTAGGTTTGTATGAAAATTAAAGTATATCTGAGCTTTGTATAGAAATCTGGATATAGATATAGATTTTAAGATGTTAACAGCAGAATTCCAGAGAAAATTTCGCCAATTGTTTGATCTCCAATTTTAACACCAGAGAAGAAAGAAGTATGTTATGTTTATTATCAATAAACCTATATGAAGTTTAGAGGAAATATGTAAAGTATTTTCTTTTTCAAACTTTTTATGTATAAGAATGTTATATTCAATCTTAAGTTATAATTAATTGAGGATTATGTAGATTTGTTGATTTATGGATGATTTGATTTTGTTTGTTTTAGAGAGAAAGACAAAGTAACAACAACAGAACTTAAAGGAAGGATGGACTAGAATGATCATTTACATCTCATAGACATTGCACAATTATGTATTCTGTCTGATTTCCATCAAGGATTTATAGCCTATTGGTGACATCACAATTTTCCATTTCTGAACTGGGTATGAGCCACTTCCAGGAATGGATACATGTGGATTTATTGAACAGATAGGCAAACTTGTTATCTGAAATTATTGAATGGTTATATTTAATTTTTTAAACACTTCAAGGTAATCAATTAATAACGTGAACACATGGGACATTTTGTTATGAAAAATCTTGGTGAATCACATCTGTGTAAGCTGTATGTGATCATAAGAAAAATAGTATAATGTGTAGATATCAGAATTTTGGATGTTGACAAATCTCAAACTACACAAACACTAGATTTATCATAATAAGAAGAAAATGTTTGAAATTTATATGCAGGTGCAGTTGTAGAACTACTACATAAAATTCTTGACACATTCTAAAAAGGCACAATTACTGGAATGGTGGAACTCCTAAATCATTTACGAGAAAAAGTGCTAGCACTTCAGACAGTGCACTTCATGATGAAATTTCTGTCATTTCCAGAAATAGTTGAATGTATGATAAGTGGACACATGTTTAACACATAGAATGAGTCAGTGTATGGAAATAAACTTTTGTCAGTAAATCATATCTTGTTTATTTATCAACTCCCCAAACAACAACAACAGTCATTTATGGATATGCATGCTACTGTTGTTAAAAGGTTCATGTATCACAGCAGATGTGCTTGTCAAGGTGTCAAAACTGGAAATATGGAAATCTCCAGATAGAACAGTGAGATTGTTACTATGTGCTACTAACATTCAAAGATTATTTATAGAAATATGATAAATTTTGTTAATGAATACAACAAAGAATTCTGAATTCTAATTCTGCACCAAAATTTTATCTTATTTGAAGATGATATTTTGACAGGTTTGAACTAAGCAAATGAATATATACATTTATAAATGCAAAAACGTACGTGATTAGATGATGTGTGTTTCTATGTATGCAAGGTGACTGGTCAAGTTATATATTGGTATGATGACAAAAAAATCGATCTATGATGAACAAAATTGAGAAAAACAATTTTAAAAAAATATATATTTAATGTATTTTGACAAAGAAACATATTTTTTTACTTCTGTCATGTGCAGGCTCGAAAGCGCCGTCAAACGGCTACTTGCCAAGAAATACTTACCTGCTCTCCAGACCTAAATACGAATATTCTGTTGATGTTGCTATCATAATGTATAGCTGCATTACATGCACCACTATGCAGCCGAGATAAAAACAAAGAAAATGTTCAACTATTCGATGAAACTATGCACAGTATGAACAAAATGTACACAGAGACACCTGGAAAAGTAAAAAGAGAATAAAACCAGTTGTTCCGGAGAGGAAAGCGTCTTCTTCATCAACGACACTCGTCATGTAAAGCTTGACAAATCCATGTAAGTAATGTCACGTTCCCAAAGGAGAACAAGGGAAACAACAACGGAACCAATATATATTAATGAGCATCACACAAGCCGAGAAAAATGTAAAATAAAAAGTGATACATATTTCTTGAGAAAATTAATGCAATACGACTTTTAAAGTTTAATAATTTCGTTCTAGAATAATAATTTACTTTTAAAAGTCTCATAACTACACATTTTTTACTGAAGAACATATTTTATGTTGTACTAGAGAAGGAACGGGTTAATGTATGATAATGTTATGTCTGATCGTTGAAATAAACTTAAGAAATTTCAGTTTAGAGCTGGGATTTAAAAAATAAAATAGCTGTGTAAAATTCGGCCACCCACACGCTGTTTTCAACATATTAAAAAACAGTCTTACCCCTTGAAAGAAAGTCACATTTGTTCATCAGTATTGCAGATCGTAAAAACAATTGGAGCAGAAGTTGTCGTCGTGAAATGAATTTGTAATGTTGAATAAATGTTTCGTTTAGAACATACACAAACTGTAAAGTGATTTATTATAATAAATTACATCTACAGTGAATTCATGGTTAAATTTATTTGTCAAATACAAATATAAAATGACATAATCTTTTAATTCCAGTATATAAATGTGGAAGTATTTATGCGTTGCATCAACATGCCTGAAATTTATATTAACTAATGCGTTCTTCTACATTGGCATGCTAAGTATAGCAAAGTCCGCCATCTTCTGATCTTTTTTATAGGAGATATCTTGAATAAGACTTACAATGTAAAATATGTCTTTCATATTTTTGATCTTGTTATTCACTTTTGTAAAACTTGTGGTGTAGATTCTGAATTCTGTGTGTTTATATTGTAAAACGTGTGACGTATATATATAGATATCATTGTATGTTTAATATGGTAAATCTGATTTTCAGTCTAGCTGTAGTGAGTATAATGTAAAACGTGTGTTTTACATAATTGTAAATCTTGTGACTTTTATTCAATATCTTGTAATTCATATTACAAAACTTGTGATGTATGATCTATATTCTCGTTCCTGTGATATTATGTTATTTATACTTTGAAACTCGTATCTTATATCTTGAATTTGTGACTTATATTGAATATGGTGGTTTTACTATAAGTCTTAACATATTCGAAAAAATTCATGTGATTTACATTGAAAATATAAAACAAAAATCACGTGGTATATATTGAAGATATAAAACAACAATCATGTGATATATGTTGAAAACATAAAACAACAATCATGTGATATATGTTGAAAACATAAAACAACAATCATGTGATATATGTTGAAAATATAAAGCATCAATTGTCTTGAATGTCTGGAATATATAAATCACAAGTTGTTAGGATATCGCAGCATTTCATACTCCGTATCCCGACACTTACCAACAATAATATTTCTAAAATATTGAGAAAATTTATGTTAATGATATCAGTGAAAAGCAAACAGAGTTGCATTTGAAATTATTGTTATCATTTCTGCATTACCCTATGACAGTTGAAGAGAATTGATAGGTCAAAAGTACCAAGCCGCACTCCAACAACAGTAAAACTACTTCTTAAATAGCATCCTGTTGAAATGAGAGTAATTTACTACCGACAACAACGGCGGGATATGACCGACATTTAAACACGTGCTACCGGTGAGTTCTGCAGATGTGAAGAGGTTTTGTTTTCTAGAAACTCCACAGGAAACAGTAGTCTGGAAACATTGACCCAAATGTCAAAAAAAAGAAAAAAAGAAATGGAAACAAACTTTGTATGTGAAGCTATGCCAAAAGAAAAAAAGATAACTAGAGACCTGTTCTCGTACTGATAAAACAAATCGAAATGAAGCAGAACTTACTTAAAAAACAAACAAAACGAATTTAACTAAAAATCGCAAAGTACGGACAACGTATCAGCATTTTTCAAACGTAAATTGTTATTATCTAGATGTGGATATAAACAAGTAATGCAATGGATGAGTAATGCAAGCAATTCCAAGAAAAAGTTACATCAGTAACTGCTGGAATAAGTGACATTAATAATATATCGGATTGTCTCTGATTGATTCAAGCAATCAGTGACATTATTAATATCTCGGATTGTCTCTGATTGATTCAAGAAATCAGTGACATTATTAATATCTCGGATTGTCTCTGATTGAATTAATTGACATTATTAATTAATTGACATTATTAATATCTCGGATTGTCTCTGATTGATTCAAGAATTAATTGACATTATTAATATCTCGGATTGTCTCTGATTGATTCAAGAAATAAGTGACATTATTAATATCTCGGATTGTCTCTGATTGATTCAAGCAATCAGTGACGTTATTAATATCTCGGATTGTCTCTGATTGATTCAAGAAATAAGTGACGTTATTAATATCTCGGATTGTCTCTGATTGATTCAAGAAAAAAGTGACATTATTAATATCTCGGATTGTCTCTGATTGATTCAAGAAATCAGTGACATTATTAATATCTCGGATTGTCTCTGATTGATTCAAGAAATCAGTGACATTATTAATATCTCGGATTGTCTCTGATTGATTCAAGAAATAAGTGACATTATTAATATTTCGGATTGTCTCTGATTGATTCAAGAAATAAGTGACATTATTAATATTTCGGATTGTCTCTGATTGATTCAAGAAATAAGTGACATTATTAATATCTTGGATTGTCTCTGATTGATTCAAGCAATCAGTGACATTAATATCTCGGATTGTCTCTGATTGATTCAAGGGAACATCGTCAGTTGCCGGAATAATTGACATCATCAATTGTAGAAATAATCGACCGCATTATCCATTCTATGAATAAGTGACATCCTAAATTCCAGACATAATCAACGCCGCCAACTTAAGGTTTAAATTACATGACTGACTACATGAATAAATTATATCAGTCATTCAAATTAATGTTATCTAATGTTTTTTTAATGATATCAATGTATTGAACGGTGCAGTTTGTTAATAGGTAATAAAACAGTTTCCCATATACTTAAGTGTTCAATTTAATCTTTCTGAATGTAAGCGATGTTATTCAATTAGCGTGCGATTCAGCACCTGTTAAATATAAATGTTGGTCTACTTTTCAAGAATGATATCATGCTATTTTTGTGTCAGTTTCACATTTGCCAGTACATCTTCTTATCAAGTTGCTCTATCTCTATTTATAGGTGACATACTAACAGGATTACAACTTTAGTGCTACAGAATCTGCTAAACGTTTAGTTTATTTTGGGGAGTAAAGTGTTTTGACTACCATTTACGTGCGACCTCACTGTGCGTAATTTATCACTGATACAGCGGAAATAATTTAACTGAATCACCAAAAATCAGCATTCATCATTTATGATTAAATTATTTTCCACGAGTGCCCAAATTATTAAGTTTCGATGTCAATTTACTATTATGCTTAATAGTATAAGATTATAATCATGGGAAGCTCAAATTATTAAATTTCGATATTAATTTATGTTTTGTAGGACTAAATGTTGCTTTCTAGAGCATTCTTACTTTCAAGTAATGATAAAATATCAGTTTTTAAATACAGTATTTCATAGACACTACATCTGTCATACATATACCGCATTTCTCTGATATTTCTTAATTTACCTATAACTACCCCAACCCTCAGTTACATGCATTTCATTTCATTGTTGTTGTCCACATTTGGTTTATAAAGCATGTATTAAGACTAAATTTTGCACTTTAGTTCAATATAAAGAATCCAGAGAAAAGAGATAATGTGTTTTGATGCTTCTATAAAAATGTTTCATTGAAATATAATGATGAACACACATTAATAGTACAGTATTCCTGCTGCATGCTTTATTTTCTTTCTTTCCTTTTTTTTAGTTTACACAACAGAGAACAAACGATAGAATTAAAATTGTATGATATTTATTAAAGTTTGCAGAAAATGGTTGTCTGTGACCGTATGTGAGCTCCTTTCAGCCTGTGGTGTAGCAGCTAAGGCCGTTGTCTATTTGTTGGGTTGGTAAGAGAAAATATGACTGGAGCAAGATTGACCGCCAGGTCGTGAGGTCTTGGCAGTCGCATAAGAATTAGGGCGGAGACTGACCAGCGGCTGTATAGCCAAGTCGTATGGATCTTGACAGTCGTACAAGGTGCAAACAGAGGATGACCTGGTTGAAAGGGGGAGGGGGGATAAAAGAAATG